GGATCACAGCCGTGCTTTGCTTTGCTGCCTTTCACAACAGTGACAACAGTGCGTTTGGTGATGAATGTCATGTCCTTGTTTTGAATAATCTGTGGTCTGCCATGTTAGACCTAAGTTTGAAAAGTTAATTATTTTAATAAGTTATTTTAATTTTTAATAAATTAAAATATTTATATTTAAAAAAATAATTATTTTTTTTATAGTTAAATATAATATTTGTGAAATAAAAAATAAAATAATTATTTTATTTTATTAGCTATTTTAACATTTTTTTTAAATATTTGGCTTTCCATTATTACCGGTCACCATATCCGTCTATATTCCATCTCCCGCCACTAAATCTGGCAACTCATCAAATATTTTTTTTCTATTTTTATTTTATTTGTTTTCAAAATATTTTTGTACACTAAACAAGTTTTCTGTTTTTGTTTTTGGGTAAATTACATTGACACCTCCTGAGATTTATGTTTATTATAATTTCTCCCTCTCCTTTTGAAAATTACATCTCCCCCTAAGGTTTAAAGTTTCATTACAGATTCTCCCCTTCAGCAATTTAATTTTTTTAAATACCAAATTTTCCCTTATTGGGTAAATTATATTGACACCCCTCACATTATAAAAATTACAATCCCCTCCTTAATGTTTAAAGTAGCATTACCAATTGCCCACTTAGTTAGTATTAGTTGGGAAAAAAAATCATTGAAAAAAATTAATTAGAAAAAAAAATTAATTGAAAAAAAAAATTGTTAATAAAGTTTTAAAATTTCTGTTTAAAAACCAACGTAAGCTCATTTTTTGAATTTACGTTTTTTTCTCAAATTTACAAATTGAGACAACCTTTTATAAACCAAAAAAATTATCAAACAAGTTTTCATGATAGTTTTTAAATTTTTTTTAAATGTAAATTAAAAACTGAAAACGAAATGGTTACCAAACAGGCTTAATGGTAAAAATGTCGTAAAATTAACAAATAATTAAATAAGTTACCAACGTAAAAAATGACTTATCAAAAGATCTTTAGGCTATGTATGGTTTGATTTTTAAAATTTTTTTTTCCAAAATTAAAAATTAATTTGGTTAAGAAACAAAAAATAAAAAATAATTATCAAATCATACATAGCTTAAGAATTTAGTATTCTTATGCTATGTACCACCAAACACATAATATTTTTTATTTTTTAACCAAATTAATTTTTAATTTTTAAATTTTTTTCTAAAAATCAAAGCATACATAGCTTAAGAATCTTTTGATAAGTTATTTCTTACGTTGGTAACTTATTTAATTATTTATTAATTTTGCGATATTTTTACCATCAGGCATGTTTGATAACCATTTCGTTTTCAGTTTTCAACTTAGATTTACAAAAATTTTAAAAACTGTCATGAAAACTTGTTTGATAATTTTTTTGGTTTATAAATGATTGTCTCAGTTTGTAAATTTGAAGAAAAAAACGTAAATTCAAAAAATGAGTTTACGTTGGTTTTTAAACAGAAATTTAAAAACTTTACTAACAAATTTTTTTTTCAATTAATTTTTTTTAAAATAATTTTTTTCCCAATTAATTTTTTTTTTCAATGATTTTTTTTTTCCAACTAATACTAACCGAAGGGGCAATTGGTAATGCTACTTTAAACCTTATGGAGGATATTGTAATTTCTAAAATGTGATGGGTGTCAATATGATTTACCCAATGAGGGCAAAATTGGTATTTAAAAAATTAAATTGCTGAAGGGGGAATCTGTAATTAAACTTTAAATCTCAGGAAGGGAGATATAATTTTCGAAAGGTGACGGAGAGAACTGTAATAAATATAAACCTCAAGAGATGTTAATGTAATTTACCCTTTGTTTTTTTACAAAAATAAACGAAAACTTGTTTCTTATTTTTTGTAAACTAAAAATTGAAAATTGAAAATGTTAACAATTAAGTTTTGATTTTCTCTTCTTTCATCTACCACTCGTTACCACCACTAGCTACCACTACCCACCACTGGTGGTCAGTTAGCCAATGTGGACAAGCTCTAGCCAGTTGGTTACCGTTGTGACATTTGGCCACCTTTTGACTTCCTTTCGGCAATCCCGTGACTTTTAGTGGCATCCATCCACCAACTCCAAAAACCACCCCATCATTTGTTACCATATCTGTTCACCTACTACAATCGGCCACTATCTTTGACAACTCATCAAATGTGTTGTTCTATTTTTATTTTGGATAAATTACAAATATACCATTTGAGGTTTATTTAAAATATAGATTATTCATATAGTTTTAAAAATTATATTTTACCCCTTCAAATTTCTAATGGCATAACAAATGATCACTTTTATTAATAAATCATTAAATTAATTAATAATTTTTAAAGATGTCAGAAATATTTTAATTAGTATTTCTAGTAATTTTATTATTATATACGAAAGTAGTTAGAAATTTTATTTTTTTTGTCAATTATGCTAAATAAAAAATTATTACAATAGAGTATTTAAACTTCCATAACAATAAGGGACAATCTATATTTTAAATAAAACACTAAGAGGTGTATTTGTAATTTATCATGTTTTTATTTGTTTTCAAAATATTTTTATATAACAAGCAAATTTTTTGTTTTTGTTTTTGTTCTTTATAAAAAGAAACAAGAACTGGTTTCTTATTTTTTGAAAATAGAAAACTGTTGAAAATAGAAAACTGACAACATTAACAAATAATTGCTAATTTAATAGATAAAATGTCATTTTAAAATTTAAATAATCTAACCATACAATTAATAGTGGAGTGTAACTTATTTAAAATAACAAGAAAAATTACTCTTGTAATTTTCATACTACCATTCTCGCCACGATCTCATCGTATGCATGACAAATTAAGAAAGTAATTGGTTTCAAAATGATATTACCAGATCCACGTTCTCTTAGATTGTTTTTGGTTCATGAATTAAAGAGAAAAATGAAAAAGATAAGTAAAATGTGAATAAAATATAATACCTACATTTCACACACCTTTTTAAATTAACTTAATTATGAACTTAAGAACTTATTAAATTCATCAAATTCATAAATCAAACAAAACCTTATAGTTCTTTATTAAATCAACTTAATTATGAACTCACAAGTTCATCATACTCAATCATATCCAATCAAAAAAGAAAAAAAGAAGCCATTCACACTCACTCATGAAATTTCATCTTATAAAATGAGTACAGGAAAAAAACCAAGATTGTTTTATCACATTCATCATTCAGTATTAGTAATATAAATCTTTCATTTAGTTGTGTTACTATTAATTAAGAGCGGTGCTACTAGCACTCTTGAATTATTTTGGACCCCCAATTTCTTTAGACCCTCACTTATAAATTTTGAAACTTCTGAAATTTCATTTTCCCTCCAAATAATATCAAAATTATCTTTAAACATTTCACTCATTGAATATACACTCCCACACCTCCAAAAAAAAAAAAAAAGTTGTTTTAAATTTGGATTTTGTGGTGGTTTTTCTCATATGCTATTTTGTGGATTTTTTTTTCTTCTTTTATTTTCCAAGACTTGGTCTAGCATTTGACAGTTTCTTCATGTTGTTATTGTCATTCAAAATCAAAACTTATTTATTTATTTATTTTACTCTTTTTTAAAAGAGAATTTGTTGACCTTTTGTGAATTTTTAGTACATGCAATTTAGAAGAGAATTGAAATGTTTTTTTAACAATTCCTTGCCTTGAAAAGAGCCTAGAAAACTCATGGATCAGTGAATAATAAGATTAAATAAATAAATGTGATGCAGATTGATAATATCACTGTATGAACTAGGGTTTATTTCTGAGCCAACAAAATATGAGGTTTGCTTCTGTCATTGCTCCTTATTTCATATTTAAATTGATAAAAATCATTTCAGCATTTTCAATATGACTTTAATCTAAATATGCCGTCAAAATTATCCTTAAACTTTTACTTATTGTCATTGTAGGAGAAGTATAGGTAATCAAATAGTTGTCACTGTTACTGTCGGAATATTGCCGCCAAAACGTTTTCAAGGTTTTGAGGATGGGTAGGTTTTGAAGGTGAGATTTGAGAAAGACAGATGGGTAGTGATGGAGGTAAGTGCTCTTATAAACCCTAATTCATGATGTAGTGGGTGTATAAGTTTAATTATGAGATAGGGTGTCCCAAAATTAATGATATCTTTTGTAGTAATTTTATTTGAGGTTATTATTGTAATAAAAAAAAGTTAAAAATTAAGAGTCCAAAATAATTTATGAGGTGCTAATAACAACACTCTTAATTACTGCAGTCAGTTAGATTTGTATATTTGTTATATTAGTATTATAATAGGGAAATATCAATTCAGCGTGGATTTGAAAAAAAAATTTCAAATCAGTGATAAAATTTATGAACTTAAATAATTGAAGTGTCAAATTTTTTTATGAATTTGTAATTATTTTTGAAAGGTTGTAATTTCTCAAATTTTGAAATAGATAGTGAAATAAACAGATCTTATAATGACACTCATAAGGGATTGAACTGATGTGATTTCAAGATTTATCACAGGTGGTCCTATCTTAATATCCGAACTATTCATTTCATGGGCGCTGATGTGTAAATCATTCATGACAAAAATCAAATAAGATAATAACATGCGTGGTAAAAACAGAGCCCAAGGTTTTCTAGATATGGAATTCTTGGTGGCTGATGTACCATTCTTGTACAATGTGCATTTGTTTGGCATATAGAATTTGGATTAAAATAGTCACTGTTAAAATCTACCATCACCTACTCCACCTACTACACCTACTACCACCTACTACACACCTACCACTACCACCTACTCCACTACATCTCCTATATAAGGAGCCACTCACCATTTGTAATATATAATATAAATCAATCAATAATACATCAATTTTAACATGGTATCAGAGCAGGTTTAGAATTTAGTATTTTCGCTTCCCCAACGGGCGGCAACCTCACCTTAGCCGCCCGCCGGACCTCAACCTATTCCGTGTCATCTCTATCAATACATAAATATACATACCTACATAGATACAAACTTGTAATCGAATCAATCGATCGATCTCTCTCAAGAAAAATGGATGCGTTCTCGTCGTTCTTCGAATCTCAGTCGTCGTCTCGCAACAGCTGGAGTTACGATTCTCTCAAGAACCTCCGTCAGATCTCTCCCGTCGTCCAGACTCATCTCAAACAGGTTTCAATTCTCTCTTTTCTGAGAAAATGAAGGAAGATATAAGAGAAAAGGACTATTGATGATTTTGGGAGTTTTGATATTGTGAATTGTTGTTTCTTTTTTGTTCGTGCTTTTTTTCGAGCAACCAAACAGGAATCGACAAGTATTAGGGTTTCTGATCGATGATTTTGCGGAAATTTGATTCTGTAATTGAATTTTTTTGTTTTTTGTACAATTTGTCTGGCCTTTCACAAATCATGAGCTTCTACCTTAATTGAAGACCTAAAAGTTTGAAAAATGACGCCTCTTTTATTGTTCTTAATCAGATTAATATCTGAAAACAATCTACTTGTCAGGAAACACCAAAAGATTTTTTTTTTTTTTTTTAATTTTTGATATCTGTTTTTCCGCAAAATGAAAACGATATGTTTGCAGAAGTTTCATTTTTCTTAATGCGAAATTCAAAAATTAAAACAGGGTTTTATCTCATGTTGTCAAAGTCTGCTTGTTGTCACTGTGTGGTTTTTCTTTGATCTGTGATGTCCTGATTTACATATAGAAGTGATATTCTTTATTCTTCCAATTTCTGTAGCTTTATTTTATTTTATTTTATTTAAATTTTGGTTTACAGGTTTATCTCGCACTATGTTGCGCTCTGATTGCTTCGGCCACTGGAGCTTATCTGCATATCCTCTGGAACATTGGTGGACTCCTTACAACCCTTGGTTGCATGGGAAGCATTGTTTGGTTACTCTCCACCCCTCCATATGAAGAGGTAGTAATCCGTCTTTTGCATTTTGTCACTTCTCTCGTCTTTTGTACACAATGTTGAATTTTTTATATATTTTGCTAAGCAGCAAAAGAGGGTTGCCCTCTTAATGGCAGCTGCACTCTTTGAAGGCGCTTCAATTGGTCCTCTGATTGACTTGGCTATTGAAATTGATCCAAGGCAAGTTTTCATTCTATCTACTATTGTTTTAATGGATTTCATAATTGTTTGTATTTTAAGTTGATTGTTTTTTTTTCTTGCTTTTGTTTTGTGTGGTGGGTTAGTTTTTCTTAGTAATTTATTACATTTACATTTGGCATATACCGTCTTTAATAGCCTATGAGTCAATGGGAAGCAATTTCTTCCCTTTGTAGACCTAAAATTTTCCTTTCCTGATTCTGGTGGAGCAATGAATGATGTACTTCTCTTATACTAGAGTGCATCCAATCATCTTATAGCAGAATTTACGCTCAAAGTTAGTCTTTATTGTCTTGTTCATGGTTTACTTATGCTCTGTGTCTTCATAGAATTGCCTACTTGTGTTGAATGGTCTATGGAAAAATTATTACCCTGATGTCATTGTTGGAATCACTTTGTTGATGCTTAAAATTCTCTCCCCCACTGCAGCATTCTGGTCAGTGCTTTTGTGGGTTGTGCTGTGGCTTTTGGTTGTTTTTCAATGGCAGCCATGTTGGCTAGGCGTAGGGAATACCTTTACCTGGGAGGTCTTCTTTCATCTGGTCTCTCCATCCTTTTCTGGTTGCACTTTGCATCCTCTATCTTTGGAGGTTCTGCTGCTCTCTTCAAGTTTGAGGTATGTTACTAGTTGTCACACTCTAGCTATATTGCCTTCGTTATCGTAGTTAGAAATCAATTGATAGGGTTCTGATATTGTATGCTTGTTTTGCTTAATTGATTAATTGATTTTTATCCGCAGTTGTACTTTGGGCTTTTGGTGTTTGTTGGCTACATTGTAGTAGATACCCAGGATATAATTGAGAGGGCACACTTTGGGGATCTAGACTATGTAAAGCATGCCCTAACCCTTTTCACTGATTTTGCTGCTGTTTTTGTTCGGATTCTCATAATCATGGTGAGTTTGTGTGCTTAATTCCATTTCATTTAGATGACAAAAAAACTTTTATGACTTTACAATTCATTAATTCATGTGGCAGTCATTATTGTTGTTGACAAGTTACTTTATAAAGGGCTATTTTGGGAAGATGGTTATAATCAGTTTTTTACTAAAAAGTTGTTTATAAGCAGCCAACTTATAAGCAGTTTTTTTGTGAGAGAGGAAATGGGTTATAATGGCCCCGTTTGGTGTAGCTGTTAAAACAGCTTATAGATTATAGCTTAACAGATTATAGATTATGACTTTAATCAGAAGTTGTTAATCTGTTTGATGTAGCTGTTGGCTTATAGATTTAAGTTGCTGAGTAGTGTTTGTTAAATAAGCTGTGAAATAGCTTTTTCAATTAATTTTTATTTTTTGTTTGTCTACATTTCTCATAAAAAATAATAATAATAATCTATAGTCCATTTGAGTCTTTTTCTATTTTTAAAAAAATAAAAAATAAAAAAATTTAAGAGTATAACCATAAATTAACATGTCCACAGCAGAAGCTGATAATCAGAAGCAAGGGCTAAGAATTTACAGTGATATTTACAGAAAATTTACTGGAAATTTATTGAGAATTTACTAAGCAATTCACTGAAAATTTACTGAGTAATTTTTGGAGAATTTTCGGGGAATTTATTGAGTTATTTTCTGAGTAATGTACTAAGTAATTTTTTGAGCAATTTACTGAGAAATTTCTTGAGAATTTACTAGAAATTTAATAAGTAATTTTCTAAGAATTTACTGGGAATTTAGTGAGTAATTTGCTGAGAATTTAAAAAGTAATTTATTGAGAATTTACTAAGTAATTTACTAAGAATTTGATGAGTAATTTACAGGGAATTTATTGAGAATTTAATCAGAATTTACTTACTAATTTAGTTAGAATTTACGAGGTAATTTACTTAGAATTTACTGAGTAATTTTTTGAGAATTTACTAGAAATTTACTGAGTAATTTACTGGGAATTTACTAAGGAACTTACCTAGAATTTACTGTTTAATTTACTGAGAATTTATTGAGAATTACATGAAGCCGTGTCCCTGTTTTGGGGAGAATTTATCGAGTAATAAAATTCAGCAACACCACCTCATTATACATGCCAATCAAGGTAAAATTAATGCAATATACTGACCTAACTTTACTATAACATAAATTATCATCTAAACCACACAAAGTAAACATGATTAGAAGCTTCACCACTTTTGCAAAATGACCTTATGTTCATAACACATGACATCTTATATATATATATATATATATATCTTCATGGGGTTAGCATAAAACTAAAGATTGAAGTGTAACCTTCACATAACACCTAAATTAGGTGACAAAACAACCAATTGATAAGAAACCTCCTTTAATCAACCATAATTCCTACATAATACAAACCCTAAGTTGTCAAAACAAGAAATCATCCTTCCTTGAGTCCAAGTGAAGGTTAAATGGGTTGGATGGAGCTTACCTTGATTTAAATCCCATAACTTTCCTCAATTTGGCAATCTTTCTTGTTGAATTGTGTTTCCCTCATTAGATTAGTTAATTTGTTAATTAATTAATTGGTCTGTAATATTTAATTAGCTTGTAGTTTAATTAACTTGTATTATTCTTTCGGTCCCTCCGAGCGAGGGCAAATTTGTAATAAGTGTGGGTGCGTGTGTGCATGTCTTCCAACCCCCACTTCTT